ACACTTGGTACAAAAACTGCCCCCTTCCTGTCCAAAGCAGTGCATTTATTTCCTGTATGTACAACTGACAGATGACTGCAACAATGAATGATTAGTTAGAAACACATTATGGTTGAGATGTCTTAGCGTGTTCCCAAATGCTTGCTGTTTTCCAAAGGAGTGGCTGAGCCTTTACCCAGCGCTGTCTGTCCTGGAAAAGCTGAAGCTGGTGGGGCTGGGCACTGGCCACTTGTCACACCAGGGTGCCCTTTCCACTGGAGTCCACCTTCAATTACTTCTGTGCAATAAAACCAAGTGCTTCTAAAATGAAAAAAAAAAAAAAAGTTAAAATATATTTTTGGATCTAAGTCCTGCCTGCCTCAACCCCACAGGGAAGGGACTGTAGTGAGACTGATAGGGAAGAGAGACTCCATTTTCTGTTTTTAACTCCATATTAAGAGAAATCACTTAAAGCTCATGTAAGCTGTACTTGATCCCACTCTTCACCCCCTTGCCTTGGTTATCAACTCACTTAAAGCAGAGCAAAGTCGTAAAATGGAAACGAAACAAACAGGACGGATTGGGAAGTAGGCCAAAAGTTAAATTGCGATGGTCATTTGGAATTCTGCTGTCCAACCTTCTGGGAGAAGTAAACTTTGTGATATTGTGTGACATTCTCGTGAGAGTCCCAAAAATGAGGCAGTGGTTACTATGGAAACCTAAAATGTACTTAAACTGAAGGTGAGACCCAGATTGGGGCAGACATCAACTCTGGCTCCTGGTTAGGGACTGTTCGCCAGCCGGCTCAGTAATGCTTTGTTTGTTCCCGCTCCTTTGGTCTCTTGTAAATGACATTCTCGATGAACTTGCTGTATCAAGACCAGCTTTCAGTTTTTGTTTTTTGAAAGGTACTGGTTCAGCTAGACAGTTCCCACCTCCTTCAGAAAGGGTGAGACAGCTGCATTGCTGGCATGAGCCCAGCTCCTCACTCCCAGCTTGTGTGTCTGTGCACAACCTGCATTTTAATCCACTTGAACCCAGTTAGTCCCCTGGCTTGTCACTGCCAATTTCTTGGGTGAAAGGGAAGTCAATCACTATCCTTAGCAGTTCAGGAAAGGGAAAGAGCAGGATGTAGCAGGTTTATTTTCTACCTGGAAGGAGTTTGGCTTTTTCACTGCTGCAGTTTTCCAAGCCAAACTCTTTCTCTCTACACATGTGTGCATATGTGCAACACACACGTTCACCCTGTGCACACAAACATCCACATACAGACATACATACATACATACACACATGCATATACACGCATGCAGAGACATGCACTTGAGCTGGCCTTGTGCTCCCCTTGAATTTCTGCTGTTTCCGCACACCACTGGACCAGTGGGAATAATCAGTAACCACAGTGTCTTAGTTACTTTTCTCTTGTTGCTGAGACAAAATACCTGACACCCAAATTTAAAGGAGGAAAGGTTTATTTAGGTCAGAGTTTGTAGAGGTTTCAGTCTACAATCAGCTGGCTCTAAGGCAGGGTGGTATGGTAGAGGAGCAGTGATTTCTGGTGGTGGAAGATACCAAAACCAACAGGAAAAGAGAGGAGAGATTTTTCTGTCTCATATTGTATGCAGGGTACCTGCCCTATGGTGGAGGTAGGACTCACACCATAATCCCAGCATTGGACCATAAATCAATCACAAACTCTAATTTCAGTCACCTCTGAAAAAGCCTGTCCCACATGACTGTATGAGGCTTTGGGGGGCATCTATACACAGACCATAATATTCTGCCCTTGGCCCCCCCCAAAATTCATGCACATCCCTTTAGGCAAAAGGCAGTTAGTCCATCTCCAAGAGTTGCCAAGGTCCTAACAAGTTCTGCATTGCTAAACAGTCCAAATCCCAAGTCTCCTCTGAGATGTAAGGCAAACTCTTAGCTGTGAGCCCCTGTACAAATGAAAAGAAAGTTGAACACTTCCAACATTCAATGGGACAAGATAAACATTTCCGCTCCAAAAGTTACAAACAGAGCAATACAAAGAAGTGGGACCAAAATAAGTCCAAAATCCAGCAGGGCAAACATTAAGTCCTGTAGTTTTGTGTGCAGCCTCCAAGGTAATCTGTGGGAAGTTGTGAGCTGCAAAGGGCTTGGGTGGCTCTGCCCCATGGCACTTCCAGTGGTAGTAGCTCCAGTGACTTCTCTCTTGGGTCTGATTTGTTTCCTCCTTGCAACTTTCCTTAGATGATCCACATTCCTTGCTTCTCCACACTTCTGGGGTCTTCACTGCATCTTTAGCTTCATACTCACAACTTCATGCTTTGCCCTCTCAGGGGCACACTGCCTGGCCTCCCAGGCCTTGTGAAATCTAGGTGGAAGCTTTCCCCAAACCACAACACTCGCGTTCTGCATGTGCCTAAAACCAGCTCCATGTGGATGATGCTAAGGTCTGTTGCCCACTGGAGCAGTAGCCAGGTTCCCCTCTCTCTTGACTGTAGGGGTCCAGTGCCAGGAGTGCTGGGCACTCTGTATCCAAGTCTGAGGAACAAATTCTGTAGGCTGCCACTATTCTGGAACATGGTGCAGGTGCTGCCACTCCAGACCATGGTGCTCTAGGGCACAATACTGAACACTCTCAGTTTAAAGGAGAGGTTTAGTTTGGCTCACATCTACTCCAGTAGGCTGGCTCCACGGCAGGATAACACAGAGAGGGGCATGATGGAGGAGAGCTGCTCACAGCCAGTGGACAGGAAGAGCAAGAAAGAAGGGACTAGGGTGATAGAGACCACTACAAAGCAGCCCTCAGCAGGATTTAAATTAACCAATTGACTTTCCATGTTTACTTGTGAGTCTGTCCAAGGCCTAGTGTCCTTGTCTGGAGATGGGCAGTGGACTCATAGTAAGTGAACCACTGTGAGTCACTGATCCTTACTAAGGCCTATAATGGTGGATGAAGCCGGAAAGCTTCAAAGGATAAGACAAGATCACAGCCAAGGACACTTGGATCCAACCTCAATTAGATAAAGACTACAGCCTCAGGCACTGCACTCCTGGGTGGATTTATTTAATACCTCACTTGGAGAAGTCCTTCAGTGGTTCTGCCCTTCCTGAGTACTCTCCTCCCTTCTTCTGGTAACTAAAATACAGGCCACCCAGAGAAGGTCTTGGTCTTAGCCCTGAGAGAATCTTGAATTCTATGAGAGGGCTTTGATCCTCCTGGGGCCCTGAAATCATTCCATGTGCCTCTTTTTATTTAACCTTTGCTGTACACTTCTTCGGGAGATTGTGGACCTAATCAGCCCGCAATAACTAAGGGATACTATTAACCCAATACTAGGGAACAGTGTAAACCTTCGTAGGCCATACGCACAGTGACTCACCTCTTCTGACCAGGCCCACCTGCCTAACAGCAAGTCAGCTATGAGCGCCATAATCCAGGCCCCTTCTGAACTCCACCTATGAGCACATGAGCCCATGAGTTTATGTTTCTTTTGCTCTTCATCCTAATCTAGACCTTCAGGAGCCGGAGAGCACAAAGGAGATTCACATCCCTGTGGCACAGGCGGTAATTAGCTTTCAGACTTTGGTCTTCTTTAGTGCCCTGCTCTCTGTTGACATTGTCCTTATCTTCTTGTATTTAGCAGTCCTTCGGTTTACAAACTTAATTTGTTTTATGATTTGGGGACGATGCTGCATTTGTATTTGTGCAGGGAAGATGGCCGTGGTCGTGTTTGTCACCTGATGTGCAGTTTGTAAACAGATGCAGAATTTTTCAGACTGCTTTGTTTTTGAACCAAATTGCTTTCAAACAGAAGAATTTCTGAACTGAGACATTACTGTAGTTACCCACTGGAGCAGTAGCCAGGAAAAAAGCAGTGATCCCAGAGAAGGAGCAGGTTAGCCAGAAACAGTGCTTCAGGTTAGCCAGAAACAGTTGATCGACATTTCTTCAGGGCTCTTAGGTTCAGGTTCACCCTGTCTTTGCAGTTGTCCCCAAAGCCTGTTTCTCACCCTCTCCTGCACCGCACACGCAGCTGAGATCAGGATGCCAGAGGGCTGCTCCCCGACCCTTCTCACAGGAAGGGGCAGCTCACTGCGCCCTCAGGTTGTAACCAAGACTCATGTTTCAGCTCCAGGTGAGACTTCAGGGAAAGGTTCAGGGAAACCTGGAGAAGTTTTGATAGTTCCTCTGCCTATGTTTATTATATGTCTGTGTCCATTAGAAGAAATAGCTGTCCTTTCTTAGCTCTTGAACTGTTGGGAATTTTCCTATTGCTTTTGCCAAACTCACAAAGGCAAAGCTGACTCTGAAGATGGCTCAGTCAGCCATGGAGAGGCGGTTATTCGGGTGCTTTTGGACAGAGCTGCCCCCTGGTGTCTGCAGCTGCCCTAGCAGTAGGGGGCTGAGACCCGCAGGTCCATGATGCTTCCTAAGACCACACCAAGGTGAAAGCCACTACCAAGGACCAGGCAACCCACAATCCCCAGCTCAGCATCTGCAGAGGAGACGTCAGCCCCAGGACCTCCCCGTTTCGCTCTCTGCATTTTCCCCTTGCTGTCTTGCCTGGTTTCCCCCAAGTAGCGTGCGGCTGCCCACAGCACACGATCAAGCCCCTGTTTGCGGGGTCCCTTGGGAGCCCTGTCCCCAGTGACGTGTCAGGGCCATTGGTGCCCAGTGTTAGCAAAGTGGCAGCAGCGCAGTACCATAGAGGGAAGGGCACGATGAGACAGAGGCATTGCAGTCTTCTTTTTCTGCTGAGAAATCCTCCTCTGGAAGGACTGGAAACTTGCCCACTTGTCCCCAGTCCCCCTTTAGCCCTGAGAACCCATCTCCTGGGTGTCCTGGTTGGTGCCCCCCTAAAGGTCACGAGGAACCGGCTTCTTCTGGGATGCATCTGTCTCCCACATTCTCGCACGCGCTCTCAAGTTACAAAAGGCTTTCTTTTCCTTTCCTGGAAATGCTTTGATTGCCCGGAGTGTTATTTTGGTGACAGAGTTTCACTTTCGTCTTTTATAAGTACACGTGGAGCAGCAGCGTCCCTCCAGGGCACAGAGTCGAAGGCAGAGGCTGTCGGTCTTTCCTCCTGCCTCACACAGCGAAGCGCAGGACTCGGGCTTGGTGGACGCTCCCTTCTCCACCTGCTCCTGTGCACGGCCGGGCTCGGCTTTCCTCCTCCTCCAGTGCAAACTCTGAACCTGTTCTCGCTGCCAATCTCTTTGCACCTGGTGAGTGAGAAAACTCCTTGGACCTGCAGCGGCTGTGTTCGTTGGCTGGAGGGAGGCTGCCTCAGTCCTTGTGTTCTTGATGAAAGAATTCGGTCAAGACACAGCAACACATTTGTAAAAGGAAAGGCAGAATTCATGGTAAAGCAAACTCTGAGGACGAAGTATACCCCCAGGGGAAAGCGTAGGCAAAAGCTAAGGTGGCAGTTGTACAGAGTAGCAGTTTGGGTTTCTTTATATATTTAGGGGACAGTAATTCTCTGGGCTTTGGGAACCATAATGAGTATCGTTGTTTCCATGGTGATGATGCTTATCAATACTTCATCTTGGAACGTACCCTAGAATGTCTATATATTACTTATTGCAAAATGTCTTTCTTTTTCTTGTCATTGGTGAGGGTATTCTCTGAGGTATACTGTTGTCCCAGGGGACCCAGCCCTATAAGATGTTTTCAAAAGAAACTTACGGGATAAAATTTCAACCTAATGTAAGTCCCAGTGTGATGTAGGTGCAGAGGCCAGGCCTTACAATGTTACTTCTGTTCTTACGTGTGTTGTTAGTGGACTGCTGACAGAGGTGCTGAATGTCCGGCTACCTGGTTTTGAGAATAAATGACCCTGAAGTTGTTTTTGTTTTTGTTTTTTTCCTTTTTGAGACAGGGTCCCATCATGCAGTTCTGGTTGTCCTTGAACTCACTTTGTAGCCCAGGCTGGCCTCGAACTCGAAGCGATCTTCCTGCCTCAGCCTCCCAAGTGCTGGGATTACAGGCGTGAGCCACCACACCCAGCCCATTTTATATTTGAAAGTTATGATTTTTTTCTTCTTTTGAAGACTGTCCTTGAAAGACCTGTAGGATGTGAAAGACACTGAACACTCCACATTAGAGAAGATTTCTCTGCATCCCTAAGCCAGTGCCATGGGATATAAACTTCTTTAACACAGTGAATTGCTAGAAGGGCCCCCACTAGCGCAGTGATCATTGTCTGCAGTTGCCTTGGTTTAATCAAACATTGTGCTGTATTTTACAGGGGAAGTCAGAGTTTAACTTAATTCCTAGGTGACCTAGTGTCATGTGTCTAATATCCACTCAAAACTCCTGTGTGTTGTGAGGAAATCCAACATTAATCAGGCTCCCTGCTGCATTATGACCACAGTGATTTATGTAAGTGTTTATCTCTCTTCTCCCATGCCAGCAGGCAGGTTCCCAGTGGCTCGTCTCTGCCCTTGCCTCGTCCTTGAGACAAACCCTGCCCTGATTTCCTGCACAGCCAGGCAGTCTGTCTGAGGTCTTTTGTACTCATGCAGGAACTGGCTTGAGTGGTTCCTTGTGAAGAAAAAAAATCTGCCGTGTTCTGTGCTGAGGTTTTGAGAAAAGCAGAGAGTGTTGATTGGTTCCCATTGCTGCTATTGCAACTTGCCACAAGTTTCGTAACTTCAAATGACACAGCTTGAGGCGTAGCAGCAACTGGAAGGTGTAAATGGAGCCAAGATATGGTGTCAACTGTAGGTGTCCGGCAACAAATGAATGCGTTGCAGAGGAAAATGTGGTCTCTACCCGCAGTGGAGTGTCACTCAGCAGTAGAGAAGAATGGAATTCTGTCATCTGTGGCTACAAGGATGAGCACGGAGGACATCATGGAAGAAGCCAGGAAGACAGACATGTGTGTCCTTCATAGGCAGGCTAAAAAGTTGATCTCGTGGAAGTAGAGACTAGAACACTGGCCCCAAGGCAGGGACGGAGAGGGGAGGGCCATTGTGTCAGTCAGCTCTTCATGGTGACAAAACCCCTGAAACAACCAACTTACACAGAGAAAAGTGCATGGTGGCACCTGTTTCCAGGGCTCCAGCCCTCACCCCTTGTGCTACCGCTTTGGGCCTGAGGCTGAGCCTCTCACAGCAGGGAGCACACGTGCAGCAGCCTGCTCACCCGGAGTTGTCTCAGGAGCAGAGGGAAACAAGAAGCAGCAGCGCCCCAGTGCCCCTCCCAGGACAACACTGACCTGACTTCCTCCCAGCCCCGCCTCCTGCAGATCGACCCTCCCCACCCAGGAGTCCACAGCGGGGACCCAGTACCAGCACGCAGGGCTTGGGGAGCCCAATGATCCAAGGAGAGTGCGGGGGAGAGGGTGTTCCTGAGTGCAGCACTGAGACAGGGAGTGGCGCACTGGTGTGTGTAGCACTGCGGTGACTGTCGGGGACTCACGGTCCTTCGAAATTAGCTAGAGAGAGGGTTTTCAGTGTTTCCCACGCAGAGACATGATACACGTGTGAGGTGACGCGGGTAGATGCTAACTGTTTTGACTTCATCACTGACTATACACACGCGTGGAAATATCTCACTGTAAATCCTAAATATGTGCAATTATTCTGTGTTGCGTTGTTTTAAAAACAAATCTAATCTCTTCTCATTCTCTCAAAAATTGGAGGGCAAAAACTGAGAAATTAGTTTCTAAGGTGCTAAAATCGAGGCGTGAGGAGGGCTGGCTCCCAGAGACTCTAGGACACGCCCTTCCCGTGTCCCCAGAGTCTCCGGCTGCTCTGCGTCCTGGGCTCCAGCCCTCCTCCATCCCCGGGGCTCCCACTGAGCCGTGCTTCACCCTCCGCCTCCTCCTGCCTCTGCCCCTCCTGCCTCAAATCGTGTCAGGGTTCTCTCGTGGTACTGAGCCCACCTGGATAACTTGGACATCTGTCGCATCTGATCGTGGCAACACTTCCCTTTTTCTATGTAAGGTTATGTGGGCGTAGCTTCTGGGGTGCAGGATATGTCACCTGTATAGGCCATTATTCTGTCTTCCAAACTGTGCAGACTCCTCAGAGACAGACGCCAACTGCGCGGAGAGCAGGTAGGCTCTTCTGCAGTGGTGGGCACTAAACTCGCCAGGAGAAACAAACCAGTGAGCGACAAGTCAGTGCGAGAGAGTGGCGGGGCTCCAGGGAGACCCGTGTGGGTCCTCAGCCGATGCTGCCTTTCTGTGTGGATGCTCCAGTCTCTGTAACTCTGCTCTCTCTCCTTTCCACAGGCCTTCCAGAGTCCGCTGCCATGGAGGAGTCCATCTCCACCTTCCTGAAGAATGTGACACAAAACAATTTTCAGCAACTGGCTGCTGACGTCGGGTCTCACTATGCTAAATTAACCAGTCAGGCTGGTGGCATCATCCCGCCAGAAGTGCTGCAGAGAATTCAAGCAGACCTTGGGAAGGGGGATCTGCAGGCTGTGGTGGACGGGATTCAAGAAGTACTGAGTGCAGCAGAAAATGCTGCCCTGGAGGTGGCTGTGATCGGGGAGTCCGGGACTGGCAAGTCCAGCTTCATCAATGCCCTGAGAGGGCTTGGTCACGAGCAGGAGGGGGCGGCTGACGTCGGGGTCGTGGAGACCACCATGAAGAAAACCCCCTATCAACACCCGAAATATCCCAACGTGACCTTCTGGGACCTGCCTGGAACCGGGACGCCCAAATTCACCCCAGACACCTACTTAGAAACAGTGGGATTTGCTAGCTTCGACTTCTTCATCATCATTTCGTGCTCCCGCTTCACCCTCAATGACGCTGTCCTGGCCCAGAAAATCAAGGAAACAGGGAAGAAATTCTACTTTGTTAGAAGCAAGGTGGACAATGATTTATATAATGAACGGAAAACCAAGCCCCAGTCCTTCAAGAGGAAGAGAGTTCTTCAGCAGATCCGAGACTACTGCCTGGCTAACCTCAGGGACATTGGAGTGCCCGATCCGCGCATCTTCTTGGTCTCCAACTTTGACCTCTGTGACTTTGACTTCCCACATCTGGAGAGGACTCTGCTGGAGGAGCTTCCCGCTCACAAGCGCCAGATCTTCACACTCATATTGCCCACACTGTCGGATGCTTCCATTGAGCTGAAGAGAGGTTTCCTCAGGGAGAAGATCTGGCTGGACGCCCTGAAGGCATCAGCTTTGGCCTTCATTCCCTTTGCACCCATCCTCAGAGGCTTCGATTTGCCTGAACAGGAAGAGTGCTTGAAGCTTTACCGAAACTATTTCGGTTTGGATGATGAGTCCATTGAAGAGATTGCAGAGAAGCTGGGCACATCTGTGCGGGATATCAAGGGCTTCACCAGGTGCTTGGATTTCTGGTCCCTAGTGAAGGACGACAGCATAGCAGCGAAGGCCAGGCACTGTTCTGAAATCTTCCTTTCAGTGAACGGAGGTGTCATGTCTGCTGCACTCCAGGGCCTGAAAGCCTACTTTCTACGTTCGAAATTCCTCGATATAGTGGCCCACGATGCCAAGCTCCTCTTGCACAAAACCATAAGCACTTACAACTGAGAGAATGGGGTACAAGCTCTGTGCCTGGCCTAATGGACTTAGAAATGGACCTCAGGTCTTGTGTGGTTAGGGATGGTGGTCTTCCTGCCAGTCCCGGGTCAGTGTCCCCCAAGGTAGAAGAAATGTCTGCCCCATGGAGGAAGGTGACAGCTTTACATGGTAACTCATGCTGTACATAGGTGATTTGATCTGAGCCTGCTTTCCAAATGGACTGGTCTAGTTTGATTGAATTCTGACAGTAACATAACATCTGTTTCAGTGAATCTCCAAATGTTCTGAGATAGTCTGCATTTCCATTATTTCCTCAGGTCGGAAGCACTTTGTAATAATCACAGTGAAGGTTATATATTGTCACTTTATGATTTTGTTCTCAATCCCCATGTTAATACTCTCCTCATTAAATAAGGGAAGATCCCTTATGTATGGAAACAATATGGGAACATTGTTAAAGGATCAGTAGAATGCGTCATTGGACAACACAACAAGGAGGGAGGGAGGAGGCTGATAAAGGATGAGAGAAATGGACTTGATAACCACACATTTGCCTGTTGACGGACATGTAACAAACGTGGTATCTATACATCGTGGACTAATACTATTTGGCAATAAAGAAAGATAAATTCGAGACATTTGTAGGCAAATTGATTCACCTGGAAAACCTAACGTTAGGCGAAGTAAATCGGACACAAGATTAAATACCTGTTGTTTCTCTCATTTGAGTGATGCAAAGTACAAATAAAAAGCAAAGTAAAAGAATGATGAGTCAGGAAGAAAGTGCTTTTGCAGATGAGAAGGGGCCTGACAGACTCTGGGTGAGGTGGGGGCGGGGAAGGGGCCTTAAGAAGATTGAACACGTGTCATGGAATGTGCCAGGTACCCGCCGTGCATACTCTCATTATATGTTATAAAGAAGAATAATAAGAAGAACAACATGAGTAACAGTAACCATAGCAACAAAAATGGGGAACGGGGATGTAGAGATGGCAGGACGGAGGTGGGTGGGAAGGGAAGGAGAATAAGAACAATCAAACTGTGTTATGCACATGCACCTGCTCCCTAAGCTGAATGTAAACTTTACGTATTGCGGATGTGTACCAGTAGCATAAAATAAAGTTCAGAAACAGAGAAATGATCTTGGCTGTCCTATTTCCAGGCTCCAGGTTTTGTTTCTGGAAACTTCTTTACACTGGATGGGCCGAGAGCCTGGTGAACGTAGTGAAAGAAAGATGAGCAGTTTGGAGAGAGAAGTGACTTGGAAGGGAGTGCGAATTCAGCCGGCAGGAGAAGGAAAATGGTGTGCTCTTGATCTTGCTCAAATTCTTTATCTCAGACCTCTGAAGCGGGACACAGCAAAAAATCAAGTGGACCTGCCTCAAAGCTCAGGGACCGCTTAGTGTTAGGGTCATAGTTCGCACGACTTTCTTGCACTTCTGACCACTAGGGGGCGCTTTTCAGTGTAGCAGCTGTAAGTGCAGGACAGGGTGCGTCGGCTCCGCCTTCCTCTGCACGCTGTCCGCAGAGTGTGGGGACCTAACACACAAGAGCGGGCCCAGACCAGGCCGCGGTCACCTCGATCCCTCCCTGCCCCAGCGCTGTGTAGAAGTGGACTCTGTGAAGAGAACGCACTCTGCGTGAGTGGGCAGAGCTAAGTTGCCCCGTGCATTGTCACACGTTTCACAGACGTGCCCATTATTAATAGGGAGAGCTCTCAAATCAGAGGTCAACAATTTCTTACATTTTCAGAAGAGATCAGTTTCATTCTCTTAAAAACAGTACAAATATAAGTGACCTGCACATTTTGGTGGCGATATTACAGAATGACTTTGTTGCCTGATTCTTTGAACTCTTCACTCTGTTAGTTATGTTCTGTTTTGGCCACTGGCCGCAGGGACAGAGTGTGGTTGGTGCTTAGATAATAGCGGTATGGCTATTTAGTGTGAGCGACGTTACTGCTTACCTTTTCAGTCCTGTCTGATCCCTCCTAATATCACGAGCTAGAGCAGAGTCCTCGCTCCAGCAATAACAGTGATAAAACTGGGGCAAATCAGCACACATCTCCAGGGAAACATTTCAGTTAGGAAGTAAGAGTGAAATGCAGTGGTCTTTAGCTTGAGGGGCTGACAAAGATGAAGCTGGGCCCTTAACAAGGGAAACTAAGAGAAAGTAGAGAAAGGACTCCATCTGAGGAACTGAAGGGAGCGCAGATCCGACAGAGCAGATCAGACTGACTGATCTATGAACAAAGAATAGGCACCGGTTTTATGCAGTGCTGTGGGCGGAGGTCAGGTTGACCAGAGTCTCAGTCCTCGTTTTGTAGCTCCAAAAAATCCTACTGGCCTGAGGAACAATTCCGTTCCATGGGATGATGGTTCTGCCTTGGGGGGCTCGGGGCTTGGTTCTTTCTCCTCATGGAGTAATTGCTCTGGCATGGGTAGGTGGCCTGGACATTGGGTAGTCCGTGCGGCTCTGCATTTCTTGGAATAGAAGGTGAATGCAGATTTAGGACATGTGGAGACTTCTAGGTTCCTGTTGCACTAATACACAGTCAAAGCTTGAGATTTAAACCCTGAGGCAAGCAGGTCTCAGGATCAACATTTTTTCATATAGGCTTTACTAGGGATCTGAGCAATTGATGGGAGTAGGAGCCTGAAGCTTACAAATCACTGTTCAAATAAAAGACATACCAGGAAGGCTGTCCAGCCCACTGGCAGATTTCTCTAGTGCTGGTACTGGGCATTTTGCTCAGCTGTGCCAATGTCCTTGATGTTGGATCCTGGAAAATCAATTCTAGTTTTAAATCAGTAAAAGCTCTTTGCTAATGGGATGCTGAAAAAGGAAAAAACCAACAGAACAACATAACAGAACATTTCCACATCAAAGATCTTCCAAGTGAGAATTTATCCCATAAAACGCCTCTAAATCTAACTGAGTTATGTGATTACCATAGGCAACTATGGATTAATGAGGGAAATGTCCACAGTAAAATGAGTAAGGTCCATGAGTTTTTTAAAAAAAGGAGTTGAGCTAGGAAAATAAACACAATCCCTTCAATCACACCGCGGAGGAGACTGCTAAAATTTGGACCCCAGAGTGTAAAGCAGGGTCCTGAATCATACTGTGGCCCAAGGAAAGTCTCATACTGATATAGGGGAAAGAAGCTCCCTACCTGCTAGATGTCTGGTTTGAGGTCATGTTCTCTAAAATCGAAGAACGAACTTTAGGAAAAGCGGAGGTTACGAGCAGAATATATTTATTAGGAGAAAGAAAGCTTCTATCTGAGAGAGACAGAAAGGGTCCCAAGCAGGTTGCCTTTTCTAGGGATTTTTATAGAGCAAACCCATGATGTGAAGTGGCTCCAAGGTAGGAAAAATGGGAAATCACAAGGCGGGTATGAAGTGTGACAAAACTATGGTCAACCAATAAGATTATGAGTATAATTGCTCAGGTAAAATTGATGAAATTGGGATCAAATGGGGAATCGAGTCACACAGCAAGCGGATAAACCAGAACAGGGGCTTTCCCTGGGGGAGGTCGGGTTAGTGACTCTCCCTGGGTTTCTCAAGGTGATAGAGACCTATTTAGAATATCAGTCCCTGATGTTTATCCTTAGGAAGTATGTGGGTGCATTTGTTTTATCTTTTGTCTTGAGGTCTGGCCCACAGTGGAGGTGTCTATCTCTCCCACATTTGCAAGGTATCTCGTCATCTGCAGTGGCTCTTTCGAGGGCCTGGCCCTGTCTGACTGCCTATAGTATTTTATCTAACTTACTTGCCTATAACAATAAGATGCTTAATCCACAGGACAGAATTCCTCCTTGTTGGGTTAATAATATCCCCTAGTTATTGCAGGCTGATCAGGTCCACAATCTCCCAAATGAGTGTACGGTGAAGGCTAAATAGAAAGAGGCACATGGAATGATTTCAGGGCTCCAGGAGGTTCAAAGCCCTCTCACAGAATTCAAGATTCTCTTGGGGCTAAGACAGCCCACCTTCTCTGGGTGGCCTGTATTTATTTGGTTATCAGAAGAAGGGAGGGGAGTACTCAAGAAGGGCAGAATCACTCAAGGACTTCTCCAAGTAAGGTATTAAATTAATCCTCAATAAGGATTAAATTAATCCACCCAGGAGTGAGATTCCTGAGGCTATAAGGTCCTGGCATAAGGACCATGTCTTTATCTAGTTGAGATCAAATCTAGGTGTCCTTGGCTGTGAGCTTGTCTTACCTTTGAGGCTTTCTGGCTTCATCCACCATTACAGGTTTTAGTAGGGATCAGTGACTCACAGAGGTTCACTTACTATGAGTCTGTCACCCACTTCTAGACAAGTGGCCCAGGCTTTGGACAGATTCACAAGTAAACATAAAAAGCCATTTGGTTAATTTAAGTCCTGCTTGGGTCTGCTTCACTGTGGTCTCCATCACCTCCTCCTGCTGTCTGCTCCTGATTACCTCCTAGAGGTATCTCAGAGTGTCTCTGTGCATGAGTACCTATTCCAGTGTCCCTAACATCTCCACCCTTCATTGGGTAATCTGAAGAATAAATTCTAGGAAGAATGGAGGTTAAGAGCAGAGTATATCGGGGAAAGAAAGTTGTCTGAGAGACAGAAGGGGTCTTCAGTGGGTTGTCCAAGGACCCTGCCTTTTCTAGGTATTTTTATAGAGCAAAACCTCCAGTTGAAGTGGGTCCAAGGTGGGGAAAAATGGGAAATCACAAGGTGGGCATGAGGTGGGACAAAACTATAGTCAACCTGTGAGATTATGAGCACAGTCACTTAGGTAATATTGAATAAATGTGAATCAAATGGAGAAGCCAGTCAGGTAGGAAGTGGGCATGAAATAGAACAGGGGCATTTCTTGGAGGGGGTGGGTCAGTGGCTCTTTCTGGCTTTCCCAAGGTGATCGATACCTATTTAGAATACCAATCGCTATTTATCCTTAGAGGAAGTATGTGGGTGCATTTTTTTTATCTGTTGTCTTGAGGTCTGGCCCTCAGCGGAGGCATCTATCTCTCCCACAGTTGCAAGGTATCCTGTCTTCCGCATGGCTCCTTTGAGGGCCTGGCCCTCTCTGCCTTCCTACAATGTTTCTATCTAACTGAGCTGCCTATAATAGTATGAACACATCCCTGATTAACCCACTGAGGAACACAGCGCCCCCGTGATCCAGGCGCCTTCCGAAAGCCCCACCTCTGAACTCAAGAAGCTTTGGAGGGAATTCTAGATGTAAACCATGGCAGGCCGCCCCCAAGATCTTCCAGAAAGAACATTTCACAGCATTTTGCTTTTGAAATGTTGGTTCAGTTGTGATCTCTTGCTGACCTTGTGTTTATGCACGTGGTCCCGGGCTGAACAGCATTTACAGAGTTTATGAAGTAGAAAAATTACAGTTATTCAAAAACATGCAGTTTGGCTTCAAAAGTAAAATCATTCCATGCAAATATGGCAATTCTCCCCCTGGCTCCGCTCTGCCTCCATAGAAACCCCATAACACTTAAACCAATCCACAGTTTGTAATCTACATGGGATAGATTTTCGGCATCCAGAATTGAAGGGTTCATCAAGGTTTTGTAGTTAGAGATTCAAAAAAGTTCCACTGTCTGAAAATGCCTGGCAGTGAAGGCCGGAGACTAAGGTAGTGCAGATTTTCATGAGTGCAAACAGTCTATGTTGTTCACAGGTCACCACAAAATGCTTCTGTGGCTGCTATTTTTGACTGTACTGCTGACTACCCAAATGCAAGTGTAAGCAGGGCTGGCACAGGTCCGCGCCACTGAAAGTCACCGTGTCATTCTGGTGTGCAGCGGCATGCCGGCAGCGCCATGTCCTCGAGGAGACTTTTCCAGATGCTGTGACTTCCTGTGTTTTCTCCCCTGTAGCTCATGTCGCTCGCTGCCTGATGTTCCATCCTTTTTTTACCCTGATAATCTGATGGAGGACGTGGATTGGGTGTCAAGTGTTACAGCAGACTTCTACTCCTGGAGCGAGCATCCCGCTATTTCCGGATATCACTGCACTTCCTTTGGTAACATTTGGTTGGGGCATTTGGGGCCTTGTAGTCATAAGGGTGACTTGTGGATAGTTTCTCTTTTTGATGGGTGTATTCTTTTCCTTGTCAGGTTTT